ACCCTAACCCTCCCCTCCTACCATCAATATAACAAACTTTGCTTATATTCCCTATCAGAAGCCCCATTCCTGTCCAAAGATGAAAAATATCTACATTGGTGCTGTCCTCACTGCTGCCTGGATGTTCCTCACCGTACCCTACGCCATCGATTGGATTAGCCCACAGCCTAGCCATAATGTCTGGGTAACCTTAGCAAAGACATTAAAACAGGATAACATGTGCTTATCCATGGGAAGCATTGATAACCCACTTTCCACATGTCTAGTAGGAATTCCCTTCATAGCCGATGACTGACCCGTCTATAACTCAGACCTTCTCCGCACCACAGGTAACAGACCCAACCTGGTAGATACTTGGGACGAGTGGATAAAAATATTGCCCAATGCTCTCGAGGAACCCCAAGAATTGGATCTGTTGGGGTCTTCCAAGGCAACATACTCTGTCAAATTTTACTTTAGACGTCCAAAAAATAATTGGCCAGAAATTGATCAGACCAAAAACACATACCGAAAAGACATATCGCCAATTAACAAAGCCTATAACCCTCACGATTGGTGTAATTACACTGCTCATATGATCTCTGTGTCCTCTCTCCATCCCAAAGTATTACCCAAGGGAACATTTCTCATCTGTGGTGACCGAGTATGGGCTGGGATCCCCTCACGACTCCAAGAGGTCCCTGTAGCCTTGGAAAACTTTCTACCCTTACTCCAAATATCACCTTGTTACACAATTGGAAAAAAGAGAGTAAATTAAAACGCCACAAAAGATCCTACACAGAATTTGATAAAAATTGTGAACCCAAATTATACGATTGGAAAAACCAAAAAATATTCCTATTCTATATTCCTGCCATGGGTAGCTGCTATCCATCCACGCCAACATCCAGAAACTGAAGGGACTTGTGAAGGACTTAAAAGTAGAAAAAAACCCAGACTGGGTCAATCACCTTTTCGGTCAATGGGGGTTAACAGGATGGGTTGCATCTTTGGTTAAGGGAACGTTGTGGATTTTTCTTGTAATTGTCATTGTGTTAGCTATGTTTTCATGCCTTGTTCATTGTTTTAAAAGAGCCATAGGGAACACCTTGTTTTCTAAAGCCCGGCTGGAACCTGCCGAGATAGATGGCGGGCTGCCTGCTGATATTCCAAATGGCGCAGGATGCCTCCCTGTCCCAATGTGCCACCACTAGCAAGTGGGGCTGGTTTGACAGTGCCAAGTGCCTCCTGCAAACTGACATCAAGAACCTGGGCTGGTGAGTTTTGTATGCCAGGCAAAAAGGGCTGGTGTTGGAGTTCAGTGGCCTGTGGCCGGGGGTGGCTGGGGCTGTCACTCTGCCTGCTGAAATTCCGAACGGTGCAGGATGCCTCCCAGATGCAAGTTGCCATCACCGGCAACTGGGTATGGTTTGACAGTGCCAAGTGCCTCTTGCAAACTGACATCAGGAACCGGAGCTGGTGAGTTTTGTTTCCCAGGGAAAAGGGCCAGCATTGGTGTTCTCGGGCCTGTGGTCGGGGTTGGCCAGGGATGGCAGACTGCCTGCTGAAATTCTGAATGGCGTAGGATGCCTTCCAGATCCAAGCTTTGACGACCGGAAACTGGGACTGCTTTGACAATGCCAAGTGCCACCTGCAAACTGCCATCAGGAGCCTGGGCTGGTGCATTTTGTTTACCAGTGAAAAGTTGTTATTCAGGGGCCTGTGGCCGTGGGTGGCTGGCTGCCTGCTGAAACTTCGAACAGCACAGAATGCCTCCCAGACTCAAGCTGCCACCACCCCAGCTCAGGTTTATGATATCAATTTGTAGGAGGCACGTGGCAGTGTCAAAGCAGCCACAGTTGGCAGTGGTGGCACCTTTGGTCTGGGAGGCATCCTGTGCCATTCGGAATTTCCACAGGCAGCCAGCTACCCACTGCCTCAGGCCCCTGAACTCCAACGCCGGCCCTTTTCCCTGGCAAACAAAACTCACCAGCCCCGGTTCCTGATGTCAGTTAACATGTGGGTTCATGGTGGCCTGTTCAGTTTTACTGTGCAGGATTTCTCCCCTACACAGCTGCCCGCATCTGGCCCTAGCCACAATGACTCCACTGGGCCTGGATCTCACAACCTTTAGACCATCACTGTCTTTCCCAATCCACTCTGTCACCACTGGCCCTTTTTAAATGCATTCCACTGCAGTCCTAAAACTCCGCATTTTCATTGACCATCCCCTCTTATTCTCATCCTGAAAATCATCCAAAAACCCCTGAAATAGCTATTAAAATCCCCTTAGAATACTCTGAAAAGCCAAAAAAAGTCCTAAGAAACCTTCAAAAATCTCTTATATGTCCTTAAAAGTTGTGGAAAAATCCTTAGAAAAACCTGCTCAGCCTCCAAGCCCCACCTGTTGTTCTCCCTGTTCCTCCCTCAGCTCCCAGCCTCTGTCACCCTCAAGCCCCCACTGTGCCCCTCAAGCTGCCCCTCAGCCTCTGTCATGGCCTGAAAGGACCCTAAAAACCCTATAAATTTCCTTAAAAAGCCCTCGTTTTTAAAGTGCCCTAAAACCCCCACAAAAACCTAAAAAATAGCCTCTGAATACCCATAAAATACAATAAAAATACACTATTTTAACAAAAACCATCAAACACCTCTAAAAATACCAAAGAACCTTTAAAAAAATCTCTAAATAGTCCTAAAAGAGCTCTAAAAATACCCCAAAAGGCCTCAAAATGCCCTGATAAGACCCTAAAAAAACCCTAAAAAATTCCCTCAAAAACCCTAGAAATACCCTAGTCCTAAAAAAATCCTCCACATAACCTCAACAATCCTAAAAAAGCCCTAAAAATTTAAATAGTCCTAAAAAACCCCAAAAACACCCAAAAAAAACCCTAAAAAATTCTAATTAGTAGTAAGAAAGCTCTCAAAACACCCTAAACAATTATTTTTAAGTCCTGAAAAACCCTAAAGGTATCCTAAACATTCCCAGAAAATTCCTAAAAATTCCTGCAAAAGAACCCTAAAATATCCCTAAAAAAAAAAAAAAAACACCTCCAAAAGCCTGCTCAGCCCCCAACACCTACCATTAACTCTCTACCCCACAAACATCATCCCTAACTTTTAACTGGGGTAACAGCCTGCAGCTGCTGGGAGGGTTCTGGAGCTGTCCCACCACTGGGGTCATTGCCTGCAGCTGCTGGGAGGGGTCTGGGGCTGTCCCACCACTGGGGTCATTGCCTGCAGCTGCTGGGAGGGGTCTGGGGCTGTCCCACCATCAGGGTCACTGCCTGCAGCTGCGGTTGGGGAAAACAACAGCTAGTTACCCAGGTGTACTGTTTAGGGTGAGCTTAGGGCTGGGGTGAGGGCTGCTGCTACCTGGTACCCTGTGTCCTTTGTACCCCTAACCCTCAGTGTCAGCTCTCCACCTGTCAAGGTCCCCCTCTTTGCCCCTCAGCCCACAATGTCTGTGTGTCACCCCAAGCCCCCGACATTGTCCCTTGGCCCCCTAACCTCCACCGTGCACTCTCCACCCGGGTAGGGGTGGTTTTTAGGGTGAGGTTAGGGGTGGTGTGAGGGCTGGTTCACCTCTCACCCTCAGGCACCCCCCACTTTGCCCCTCAAGGCACCCCCTGCCCCTCAGCCTCTTTGTGCAACCCTCAAGTGCCCCGCTGCAGCCTCTCAGCATCTCTGTGCCACCCTGGAGCCCCCTCTTTGCTCCTAAAGGCCCCTTCTGCCTCTCAGCTGCCCCCATGCTCTGTGTCACCCTCCGCCCCCTCCCTGCAGCCCGCAGCCCCTGGTGACACCCTGCAGCCCACAGACGTTGTCCCTGCCTGTTTTATTTGGGTGCTGTCCTGCTGCCAGGGCTGCACTGTCCTCCTCTGTTCGGGCTCCCACGAGCTGCTGCAGAGTCACAGGCGGGCGGTGGGGAAATGAAGGACGGGGCCGGGCCGGGAGGGAAGGGGTGAAGGGCGGAGTGAGGGCCGGGGCAGGGCCGGGAGGGAAGGGGTGAAGGGCGGAGTGAGGGCCGGGAGGGAAGGGCGGAGTGAGGGATGGGGCAGGACCGGGAGGGAAGGGGTGAAGGGCGGAGTGAGGGATGGGGCAGGACCGGGAGGGAAGGGGTGAAGGGCGGAGTGAGGGATGGGGCAGGACCGGGCTGGAAGTTCGAGTAGAGGTGAGGAGCAAGAAGGGGACATTAGAAAAGAGGGCTGAGGGGAGGAAGTAAGGGTTAGGAGGGGGCAACCCCGTATCTCCCAGACCAAAGCTGCTGCAAAATAAAACTCTGGTTTCCCTGGTAGTGCCAAATGCATCCTGAAAAGTGACAGCAGGAACCTGGCCCAGTGAGTTTCGGTGTCCATGGCAAAAAGCCGGACGTCATATTCAGTGGCCATCTGTTTCCTCCAGTTCCGAATGCCGCAGGATACCTCCCAGACTCAAACTAATACCACAGACAACTCGGGCTGCCATGACGGTCCCAAGCGCCTCCTGCAAACTGACATCACGAACCTGGGCTGGTGAGTTTTGTTTCCCAGGGAAAACAACCGACATTGCTGTTCAGGGATATGTGGCCATCAGTGGGGGTCCGTGGAGAGAGAGCCATGTTGTGGCAGTTTTGTGTTCCCCTTGGCATGCCTTTTGCAGCTGCAGTGTGCCTGGAGCCCTGGGCTTTGTGTTTTCAAAACCCTAACCCTAGGTGTAACCCTAATCCTAGGCAGGAAATGCAGCCTTGGGTTGCAAGGAAAAAGCTGTGGAGGAAGCCATGTTGTGGCAGTTTTGTGTTCCCCTTGGGATGCTCTTTGCAGCTTCTATTATTTAAAATAAAACCCTTGCCTCTAACCAAATAGAAACCAAAAAAAGTCCTTTCTTTTAAACTCTATTTAAATATTTTTATATTTTTCATCATTATATACACATTTGAATTTATAGTTTATATGGATGTATTGTATTTATAAATATGTATAATATACATCATCATGTAATTATTTTAATTTTTATTGTATATCATAAGTATTGCTAATACTTCTATTAATTTAAATTTTTAATTTTTATATATCTTTATGTATTTATTATATATTTCTACACTTAGATATCTACCTTTATTTTATTTATATTTCTAATTTTTATAGTAAAAACCCTGCCTATTACCAAATAAAAAAACAAAAAAAAAAAACATTTCTTTTAAAATATATATAAATATTTTTAAATTTATATTTTTGATATTTACACTCACATTTACGTTTTTAAGTGGTTATATATTACATTATAATATATTGATGTACTATATTTAGATATATGACATATAATATGTTAGAATAAGATATATACAGTATAATTTGTATTATACTGTATTATAATTATGTATTGTATCGATTTCTATTATTTTGTATTTATTTATATACATCATGTATAAATGTATATATTTATATACTTCGTATATATTTATATTTATTTATATACCATATTTTTCCCCTTTGTATTAAAATAGAACACAGGATTCCCTGTCACCCCTGCTATACTCCTAACACCCTGGAAAAGGCAGGTTTTCATTCAATCCCTTAAAACCACGAGTGAAGGGGGATTCCCCCCAGTTCAAACGCAGACAATAATGGAAGAGGAGTTGCTTCCCTCTTTTTAATTTCTTTTGTCCTCCTGAGAAGCTCTCACCGTCCTTCCACGGTGGAAGCCCCGAGAGCCCCCCATAAACCCCTCTACTCAGCAACTCCATGCAAAACGGAGCAGAGGCGCCCAGCACGACCCCCCTCATTCCCCACCCACCTGCTCCTCCACCGCCGTGTGGCTCCCTCTCCTCGGTTTTTTTTTTTTTTTTTTTTTTTTTTCCTGGGGACACCGGGGAGGGATTGGCAAGATGAAATTGAAAAGGGAAAGGAGAAAAGTCCCCGCTACAAATCCACACGAGCTCACCTGTTCAGCTGCTGCTTCCCGGCACGAAGCTTTGTCCCTCGGCATCTCCTTTGAGCAATGCTCACCGTATCCAAGCGCGTATCCAGGTGTTCCCGCAGACCCCCTGAGAAGCTCTCACCGTCCTTCCACGGTGGAAGCCCCGAGAGCCCCCCATAAACCCCTCTACTCAGCAACTCCATGCAAAACGGAGCAGAGGCGCCCAGCACGACCCCCCTCATTCCCCACCCACCTGCTCCTCCACCGCCGTGTGGCTCCCTCTCCTCGGGACCTTGGGGTGCCCCAAATGACATCAGAGCCCCGAGTCTTCACCCCCTTTTCCTCACCCCCAAAGAAGGCACAGAACGAGTCTAACTGCCCTGGACAGCAGCGCAGCGCTTCCTTCAAGCCCTTTCCACGCGTACATCCCCCCAGAAAGGGACTCCGCCGCAACAAGAAAGGGGAGGCAGCCCCCAGAAGGGCTCAAGCTCCTCCCCAGCCTCGCTGTCACCGGGAGAGGGAGCGGCAGGGACGGCAGGCACGGAGCGGGGGCCGCTCTCAGCGGGATGTCGGGAAAGCCGCAGGTCCGGCAGTGCCGGGCGGTGTGTCTGACCGGCATGGGGGATCCGCCGAGACCCCCCGGCCCCGTGCAGGGGCCGAGGGGCGCCGGGCTCCGGCCCTCTGGGCTTTATTCTCCGGCGCCCCGCGGCTGCGGGCAAAGAAGGAAAGGGAGGACGGGAACAGAGAAGGGAAAGCAGGGGATGAGAAACGGTAGGGAGGGAGGTCGGGCTGTGGAGGAAAGCGGGAGGGGAAGGGAAATACCGGGAGGAGGGAAAGAGGGACCGGGGACAGAGGAGGGAGAGAGGGGGAATAGAAGGGAGTAGCGGGTTAGGGACAGGACAGGAAGGAGCCGGGTTTGGGAAGGAGAGGGAAATGGGGGAAAGGGAGCAAAAGAAGGCGAATACGGGGAGGAGGAAGGAGGGGCAGAGAGAGGGACAGGAGGGGAAACCTCACAGAGCCCCGGCTCCACCCCGAGCCCGCCCCGCCCTGCCCGGGATGCTGCGCTCGGCGGCGCTCGGCTCGGTTCGGCTAGATTCGGCTACTATCGGCTGCTTTCGGCTGGATTTGCCTCTTCGGCGCAGCTCGGCTCAGTTCCGCTAAACTCGGAGCCGCTCTGTGTGTTCGGCTCCGCTCGGCTCGGTTCGGCTAAACTCGGAGCCGCTCTGCGTGTTCGGCTCCGCTCGGCTCGGTTCGGCTAAACTCGGAGCCGCTCTGCGTGTTCGGCTCCGCTCGGCTCGGTTCGGCTAAACTCGGAGCCGCTCTGCGTGTTCGGCTCCGCTCGGCTCGGTTCGGCTAAACTCGGAGCCGCTCTGCGTGTTCGGCTCCGCTCGGCTCGGTTCGGCCGAACTCGGAGCCGCCTCCCGTTCAAGGCGCGCCGCTCGCTGCTCTGCTGCTGCCGAGGCACGGAAACCTCCACGCAAGATTAGACAAAGCAGCTTCTATGTTAAACCCTTTGTATCCCATAAGGAGAAAACTTCTCTACCTCTGTTTTCTCATTTTTCTTCTTTGATTTCAAAATCAGAGTTACGAAAACCTACTCAAGTGCAAGTAAAAGATTTACTAAGTAGTCAATAAAGTAGTCCTGTAAATTTCATAACCTAAAGAAAAAGTTATACTTGTTTCCACAAAAAATAAACCACACGAGATTCCTACTCACTGTGCCAAACTTTATTTAAAACACACCAAAAAAACCTCAAGATAAATAGTTCCACAACCAAAACAAAATGTATAAGTAACACTAAAATCACACATCCAAATGCAGCGTTTATCGGTCACTAATCCTCTAAATCCATTTTCTACATGCATTTTTAGGATGCCACAACTAACCTTATCCCTCACAAACTTTAAATTGTAAATAAAAAAAATCCTATACATAACATAAACTCTTAAAATAACATTTATACACTCTTGTCCCAAATTACAGTTAAAACACAAAACTTAAAATTATTAAAATAATTATAAATAAATACTTGTAAAATATTTAGTTACCCCCCCCAAAAAAAACACACAAACCCACAAAGAAGTTACCTCAAAATATCAAGCCTACAATTTAAAACAACCCTACTAAGACCCAACATAACAATAATACATCAGAAAAAAAACCAAAAAAACACAATCACTCAAACCAAATTTACTTCTCAATATCAAAATAGTATAACCTTTTAAAAACCGAATTCTATTCTTTATAAATCTATTGTAAGACCTAAAATAACAACTCACATGTTAACTACATTAAATAAATGTAGTTATTAACTAACCAAACAAAACAATAATACATCTATAACCTTAACTTTGTTACTACTAAATATAAATGACATTAAACATACTACTTTACAAAATAAAACAATTTTTTTATTAACACACCAAAATAAATACCAAAATTAGAAAAAATACATTATATAAATTTTTTCAAATCAATAAATCAATTTACAAAAACATTTAAAACTTTTTTAAAATAATCAATTACACATAAATAAAAAATAACTAAATAATATTTTGAAAAATTAAAACATTACCAAATAACTTTAATCATTAGTAAAAACTAAAATATTCATTTTATTAATAATCATAATTATTACTTTATATCTCCCCTACCGACTTAAATTTTTTCAAAAACCCCTACAAAAATCCTTAACAAGTATATTTATAATTCAAATACAAAAAAAAAAAGTACCAAAAAGCCATTAACATGAAGACCAATAAAATAAACACATTAAAAATGCTTACAATTAAAAATTACATACCTCAATAAGCAATATTCATACCTTAATGATTTATTATAAACACTTTCCAATTAATGATTAACATTAATTACTTTATACCAAAAATACAAGAAACTGTTACTTTATCCAATAAATATAATAAACCATTTTTATATAACTAATAACTTAAAATCACACTTTATCAAAAATATAAAACTTAAAAACCCCATTATTATCACTACACCGATATAGATATATATATATATATATATATATATGCATCTCATATATCCATCTCAACAATATCAGGGTTGGGCAGGAGCTCATTAGGCGGTGACTGCACTCGCGCTAATTAATGGTCACGAGAGCAGGAGGCTGGATTCGGCCAAGCTCGGCCAGATTCGGCTCACAGATTTCCTGATGGATCAAGGCAGATTCCCACTTTTGGCTGGGGGCGCCTGGGTGTGCATGGTGGCTTTTTCCCACAGGTGTGAAATATTTCCACCCTCGTGTCTTGGAGCCGGCTCAGAGGAGGCCCCTGGGAGTCGAAGGCCAGCCCTAGTTCCTGGCAGCTTTCATCTGGGAGAAAACCTGTGATGTTTGCAAATTTAGGAGACAGAATTTCACTTTTCGCCACAGGCGCCCGGATGCCAATGATGGCTCGTTTTAGAAGGAAGCAAGGTTTACCACCCCCATGGCTTGGAGGCAGGTTGGAGGAGGCCTCCAGTAGTCCAAGGCCACCCAGAGCCATGGTTACTGGCAGCTTCTGTCTGGGGGAAACCCCTCAATGTTCCGAGTTTAAGGAATGTGGCAGCCCACATTCCCACGGGTGCCCCTGGCTTGGCAAGAAGCCTGGCACATCCTAGTCCAGGCCGTTGGATTCATTTGCCACCTTCTACCGCAATTATCCTGCCATGGAAACTGTTAAATCACAGACTACAAAATGAGAGACTCTTCCTGAAACAGAAATAAATTCCAGCTCCAGAAAAGCTCACTGACACATTTAGAAACACTTCAGCAAAGCAAACCCTTGGAAAAAGCAAAGGTGGTTTGTGGTCACCTGGGTCTCCTAGGCTCTGTGAGCCAAAGGGGAGAGGAGTCTAATGATAGGAACAGGAGGACAGAGAACAGTCAAGAGAGAAATGGGCTGAGGGACAGGGAGGAAAGAAATGAAAACATTGGGGCAGGGACCTAGAATGAGAGCATCCGAGAAAGAAAAAGGGTACTTAGAATACAGGGCACAGAGAGAGAGAGAGGAAATAAAAGTTGGGTGGACATCACAAAGGCCTAGAGGGTATATGGGGAGCATTTAAAAATCTGGAAGACAGATAAATGGAAAAAGACAAAAATATCAATGGACTGAGATAGAGGATGAAGATAAGAGAGATGGAGAAGAGGATGGAAGTGCAGAAAGAAAAAGAAAATAGAGAGGTAGAATGTGAGAGAAAGACACAAGATTAGACAATAGGAGAGGGAGAGGTGCAGGAAAGGAGAAAAAATTACATCAGCAGGAGAAGGGTGGTAGGGATGGGATGCAGAAGAGGGGCAACATGGACTAATGGGTCCAGGACTCATCGCAGCTCCCACTTAACAGCTGCTGGGGGAATTTGACAGTTCAGATGTATCTTTGTCGGTCTCTCCCTCTCCATGCCTTACTCTGTACTTCCAGTGGCTCAGTTGTCAGCCACCTAAGCCATTAAGGTCTTACAACTTTAACAGTATGAGGCTTCACAAATACACAGCTTCACAAGCGCAGACACTACCCGGTCACACATACCGGCCCTGCGGTGCCGGCGGTGATCTGCTAAGGACCATGCCTACAGAAATTCTTCTTCACTCGGAGAGACAGAGGAGATCCCAACACTCCTCCCCGGCAAGAATGACACGGTTTTCCCGTGAAATTTGCGGGGTTACTTCTCAGACTTTATCCCTGCACCCACTCCACCCCCCCAACTTCCGCCTTCCCGGTCAAACGGGCACTCCTCGCAACGCAGCGCTGCCGGAGCTCATCTCCACTGCGGTGACCGACGGCCTCGGGGGGACGACGCCACACGCACCGGGAAGACTGCGGACTTCATTCGCCGCCCGGCATGTGGCTGGGACGGCGCGATGAGACGGGACAGGAAGCTACGCCCGACTCCCGCCGAGCCGAGCCGAGCCGAGCCGAGCCGAGCCGAGCCCCGGGCGAGCGGCGGAGCCGGGCCCGCCCCGCGCCCGGCCTGCGGCAGCGCGCCCCGCCCCCGTCGCTAGGGAAGTGAGGTCACGCAGTATGGTGGCTGGGGGCCGGAGGGGCTGAGCGCCGGTCGTGTCGGGAATCCGTATCCATCTTGCTCGGGAGCTGCGGCGACGGTCTTGACTGTCTCGCTAGTATCGAGCGGCGAGACCAAAGCCGCGATGGCATCCGAAACCGCAGGACTGTGAGGCATCAGAACGAGACCCAGCAGGCCGGGCAGAGCAACAGAAGCGGGTCGCGGACGAGCCGAGCTGCCGCCATGGAGCTGAGGGTTGGGAACCGGTACCGGCTGGGCCGGAAGATCGGGAGCGGCTCCTTCGGGGATATCTACCTGGGTAAGGAGGATGGCTCGCTGGGGATTTAGTTGGCCGTTTTCTGGCTGTGTGGAGAACATCGAGGGCCTAGCCGGGTCGGGCAAGTACCTGGGCTAGGGACACAACAGCAGTAATTTAATATTTCGTTGACATCATGCCCTGATTTGGATAGTGCGGAAATCGGGGATTCTGGTTTACTCGGCTGCCTCTTCTCATTGTTGTCTAGTGACCTTGGGCACCGTTCGAGTCTGTAAAATGAGCATAAGGGTAAAAAATCGCCTCATCTGAAAACAAGGAAGAAAAAAACCCAAAATCACATAAACCTTAAAAACCCCGCAACCCACACCATTCGGAAAAACGTTTCGGGAAAGAAACGTAGCGGGGTTAAATGTCGCTGCAGTGGACTAGGAAAAATTGTTGTCAGAAGGATGTTTCTTTCTCCTGTGAGGCCTAAAAAAAAAAAAAT